ACCTGGTGACACTCTGAGCAAGGGACCGGGCTCCGTGTCCTCTCTGCCTCACGGGAATGGCTTTCAAAGATGGCTGGTACCATCAAATTTGTACTTCTTGAATAAATACCTTCCTTTTTCTGGTAAAAGCCCTGGCGTGTGCGCGTTTGTGCTGCGGGATTGGCTAGTTCACTTTGTAGTGAAAAACCCTATTGTCTAATGCAACACAGTTCCTAAAAAATCATAGTGAAATCCCTTCTCCATTTCTCCTTCTGAAAGCAGCATCAGTAGAAATTCTGTTCCTGGTCCTTGGGATCTGGGGCTGGATTTGGGATTGCCCCAGGAAACCCCCAGGATGGGGAAATTCCAGGGATGGTGCTGTTTCTTTGCCCTATAACTTCTAGGAACACTTCTAGAATCAAATATTTGTGTTAAACAAGCTTTGTAATGTTTTCCTCCTCACTGCTCAGGGAAGAATTCCAGAATTCTGATTTTATCCTGCTTTGATTCCAAACTGCTTTATGGGTTTTTATCTTGTACTTTATTAACACCTCACAGGTTGTCTCCAGGCTAATAAATTATTTCTTATCCTAGAGAAGATCTTTTACTGCTGAGAGCAAACCACCCTGAATTTCCAGTGGAAACGCTGTGCAAATTCCCTGTATTTATAACAAAACAAAAAATTAAACATATTTTTTCCCCCTGCATTAAAAAATAAGAATAATCCTGGCCATGCTACAGCTTAAGAAATTCACTCAGTGTTCTTTTTCCTCCTGAAATTTCTTCAGGGGGGCTTTTGGCTAGGAGCTGCAATTCTGCAATGCCTCCATTACCTAAGGGACACGTTGTAATGTGAATTTGGGTGTGTGACAATGTTTTATCTTGCAGGCAAGGTGTGAAATCCGTGCAGAATGCAGAGCCTGGAGCTGTGCCTGGCTCTGGGGATCAGCTCCTTGCTGAACAAAAAAATGGATCTGGGTAATTGTCCTGTAATTACGTTTCCTGACACTTCGTCTTAATTCAGGTCAGCACTTTTATAGTCTTGATTAACTACCAGAGGTAGCAGAGGAGTAGGAATAATTCTTTGTAGGCCACAGCTGAATATTTCCATTTTTAAAATAAAGTTCAAGAAATTAGGGTGATTTCACTGTAGAATTTGGGATGTGAGTTACAAACAGTCAAAGGTGTGATTTTCCTGGAAATTTTCCCTTTACGGATGTAAGAGACATAATTTTTATTTATTTTATATGGGAGTGTGTACATACAGTGTCTTTAATTTATCAATATCCCCCTTTTTAATAGATAGTCACAAAATACAAGGTGCAAAGGCTTTGCACCTTTACAATTCTCTTGTAAAGAAAATGTATAATTTTCTTTAATTTATCCATATTATCTTAAAAACCTTTTTCCCTTAAATGCCCTTAAAAACCATATTCCCTTAAATCCCTTTAAACTTTTCCCTTAAATTCCTTTAAACATTTCCCTTAAATTCCCTTTAAAACCGTATCCCCTTAAACTCCTTTTTTAAGGGAATATGGATCCCTTATAATACAGATATTTTTAGAATTAAAAAAATTATTATAAAATACAGATTTTTATAATTTAAAAAAAATATAATAAAATACCGATTTTTAGTACAGAAGCCATGGCAGGCTGCCTGCCCTGCCAGGTGGCATCTACATTTTATATCAAAAATTACACATTATATTTACAATAAAGTGCCAATATCTATCATTTATGTTGGACAGTGTGTCTCTACCTTAAACCAACAGAAAAGTGTCACCAGCACAATGAGATGTGGAGGGCAAGATGAAGGAGAAAAAGGCTGGGACACCCCAGATTCCTCCATCTTGTGCACCCTGAACCCCATCCTAAAATTCCCAAAATTTCCAGTTTTCCACCCTCTGTTAATTCAAATATCACACTGTTCAAGCCCTTTTGGGTTGTAATTCCTCATACAAAAGTGGCAGTTTTTTCCATGGGCTAAAATGGAAGCCACGGGTGGTTTTGACTTCTTGCCAGGTTCTCCAAACCCCCTGCCAGGGTCTGGGGACAGCCAGGACAGCCAGAGGGATGTGCTGGACTCTGCCAGATGTGGGGTTTGGTTCCTGCCAGGGCAGGGGCCACCTCCAACTGAAAATATAAATAACAACTGAAAATATAAATCTCCACTGCCAGAAAGGAGATTGAGATGGGATATTGGGAATAAATCCTTCCAGGGATGGGCAGGGACACCTCCCGCTGTGCCAGGCTGCTCCAGCCTGGCCTTGGGCACTGCCAGGGATGCAGGGACAGCCAGAGCTGCTCTGGGCACCTGTGCCAGGGCCTGCCCACCCTCACAGGGAAGGATTTATTCCCAATATCCCATCTAAATCTCCTTTCTGGCAGAGGGAGCCATTCCCAGTATCCTGTCACTGCATGCTCTTGTGAATCCTCTCTCTCCATCCTCCCTGCAGCTCCCTCAGGAAGGTCACAGCTGTGTCACCCCAAAGCTTCTCCCCTCCAGGTGAGCAATCCCAGCTCTCCCAGCAGAGCTGCTCCATCCCTCTGATCCCCTGGAGCTCCTCTGGGCTCTGCAGCAGCTCCAGCTCCTCCTTTGAGACTTCTTTCCCATCCCTCCCATGTCCATGGTTGGCTTCTCCCCCTCCTCCCCAGATCCCTCAGGGGACACCCCCAGTGTTGATCCTGGCCTAGAGCAAAGCTGCAGCTCACGCCCAGCATCAAAGCTGAGCTTTAGGGGTAATCCTGCCTTTCCCACCCCTCTCCCTCCCCACAGCATTCCAGCCCAGTGGGTGCAGGAGCAGCAGGATTGGATCCCTATTTTCAGGTCGGTCCCATCCTGGAGAAAGCAATAAAACTTCCCCTGAGGAGGGCAGGGAGCTCTCAGGCATCACCTGCACGAAGCTGGGAGCAATAATTAGCAGGATTTATTTCATTTGAAATGCCCACTGCTCCCAGTCAGGCTGCACAGGCAATTAATACCCCGGAACAGACAAGAGATGCTGCTCAGAATTCATGGACAGCATTAATAAGATGATTTATGAGAGAGCCGGGTGTGAATTCTGCCCAGAGAAAATGTGAAGGTGCTCATGGCTGTCTGCCTGTCTTCTCCTCCTGTCTTCTTCTCCCATCTTCTTTCCCACCCCACCACTGGAGGAAAAAAAAACAAAAAACTTTTCCAACAAACAGAAACACTAGAAAAACCCCACATTTTTCTTTCAAAGGTGTCGCTTTTAACAATTATTTTCAGTCCTCTTTCATTTCCTCCAGTGCAGCGCAGAGGAAGAACTGAACCAGCTCCAGAATTTCAAACTCCCCCAAGTGTGAACACAGAGGACAAACTGCCCATGTTTAAAAAAAAAAATCTGCAGCTTGGGCTGATTCTGCCACCCTTAAATCTCTGCCAGTGGGGGGAAACCTGTGGGAAGAGGGATCATTTGGGCTGGAGCACCAAAACCATCTTGAAAATACCTTCAAATGTATTGAAGAACTGCAGCATGAGGTGAGGAAGCACTGAACCAGTGGGTGAGGGGTTGAAAAAAGCCTCATGTGGAGGACTTTTAGCAAGAAACCAAAAAAAAAAAAAAAAAAAAAAAAAAGCTTCTCAATGTGGAGCACAGGTTTGGGAAAGGATTACATGTGCAGCAGTCAGGAACGAGCTCCAGTGGGCCAGAAATGCCCTCCTGCCCCGTGCCCCTGGCATCTGGCACAGCTGGCAGGATTCCTGCAGCCTGGCTGGGGTTTTTCCTACGTGCTCCCTGTGCCAGGACCTGGTTATGGTGTTTGGGCAGCCTGGCCCGGGGGCTTCACACTCTGCTGGCACCCAGGGGACAGGGATGGCACAAACCCAGCCAGGGCTGGAGGCTCCTGGAGCTTTGTCTGCCTCCCAAACAACGCGAGGGGGAAGGAGCAGCTTCGGGCAGAGCTGAAATGGATCCTGGTGGCTGTGCCAGGCGCCCTGAGCCTCACAGCCAGGCCACTGTCACCTCCCGGAGCAGCAGGGAGGACACGGAGCTGTGTCTGAAAGCTTTCTGGGGAATTGCCAAGGCCTGAATTAACCAAGCTGCTGGCTAATTAACGCTACAGCGTGCTGCTGTGCTTGGAACACCTGAAGTGCAATGTTTGTAATGTCGCTGATGCCTGGGTTTAAATCCCAGGTGATGCAGAGTCCTGTGTGTCCCTTCCCAAAACATCACACAGAGCATTTGAGATTTTTAATGCCAATCTCATTTTTAAGAGCATTTATTGCTCAGGTGATAATTTCAATTGACATGCAGGACCTGGAAATACTCTGCCAGTTTTTTTGGGGGGGTTTTATTGAACAGCAAGGACAGGGAAAGATGATAATCAGCCCAACATTCTAGGGAATCATGCGTCAGGGAACTCGTAGGACATCGCTAAGATCAGATGCTCTGAAAGAGGGAGTTTTGCTGGAATTATCCTTCAGGATGGAGGGAGTGAAGCCCCCCTGTTCCTGCGCGCCGGGACGTGGATTTGGGGCCGAACCGGCGCGGTGCGGGTGTGTGCGGGGCCAGCCCGGCGGCCACGGGCTGCACCGCCGGGGTGTCCCCTAGATGTCCCCATTCCATTCGGGATCGCTTCTCCAGAGGCGCTGCGCTCCGCCGCGGGGAGGATGCGGTGACCCAGCGGACACCGGCCGGTCACAGCTCCGAAACCGACGCGGTTCCTGCCGCTCCTGGAGGCTCAAACCGGCCGTGCCCCTCCGTTATCCCGGGAGAAGGAGCGTGGGAGCAGAACCGCGGCTCTGCTGCCGGGGTTGGGCTTCAGCGATTCGGATGTTCCGTGCGGGACCGGCACAGCCCCGGGATGGCGAGGGGGCCCGGCTCCTTCCCTGCCCGCCTGGGCCGGGATTTGCTTTCCTTGGCTCGGGATTGGGATCCCCCGGCTGGCCCCGAGGCGGGGCCGAACCGAGCCGGGCTGGGCCACGGCCCGGTGCACCGGGACGGGCAGAACGGGGCCGGGATCTGCCCCGGAGGGACCGAACCGAGCCGGGCTGGGCCATGGCCCGGTGCACCGGGACGGGCAGAACGGGACCGGGCTCGGCCCCGGCGGGGCCGAACCGAGCCGGGCTGGGCCATGGCCCGGTGCACCGGGACGGGAAGAACGGGACCGGGCTCGGCCCCGGCCGGGCCGTACCCGAGCTGAGCCGTGCCAAGACGACTGGGCAGAGCGTACCCGGCCTGAGCCGTGCCAAGACGACTGGGCAGAGCGTACCCGAGCTGAGCAGTGTCAAGGCGGACCTTGACCCGGCTGGGCAGTGCCGGGCCGTACCCAGGCGGAACCGTGCCGTGCCAGGGCAGAGCTGTGCCCAGGCTGAACCGTGCCCGGGATGAGCCGTGACAGTCTGGGCAGGCCGTGCCCGAGCCGGGCCGTGCGGGGCGGTGCCGTGCCCGGACCGTGCCCTGCCTGTGCCGTGCCCGGGCCGAGCCGGGCCGTGCGGGGCGGTGCCG